GCCCTTCTTCATCTTGGTAGAGCCGAACTTGGTGGCGGCGAAGGTGGCGGTGGTGAAGGTGATGGGCTGGGCTGAACGGGGGATGAAGGTGGGGCTGGGAGACTGCCCGAAGGAGGGGGATGGAGAGTTGGACAGCGAGTTGTCCTGGCTGCCGATGGGGACGAACACCTGGGCGTCGGGGTTGAAGCTGCTCTTGATCTCTTTGTCCAGCTCCACGGCGCCGCAGCCCTCGCTGTCGTCCAGGTAGAGGACCTTGACGGAGCCCTTCTCGCCGATCTGGTAGGAGACCTCAAAGGGATCAATCCAGACACTCAGCTCGTCGGGCACATTGGCACGCACATCCTCCACGGCCAGCCCGCTGCGCCGGGCCGCCAGCTCCACCACCGGGTCCACCGTCTCCCCGATGTGAACGCAGCGATAGCCAGAGCCCTTCAGAGGCTTCTCCGGGTACCAGTGACCCTCATATTTCTTCTTCAGCAGGCGCTCGAGCTCCTCACCGAACAGGTCCGCCCGCCTCCGAGGAAGCTTGTTGTACAGGTAGGAGATGATGAAGTTAAGAGCAACTTTGATCTCCAGATGCATACTCCCTTCGCGTCAAGCAAGTCAGGGCAGCGTATTAAAAGAGACCAAACGACACACGCATAGGCAAGATCTGGCTCCAAACAGACCTAGGGAGGGAGAGAAAAGGATGGGTGAAGGAGAAGGCAACAGCTCTCCACCTGTGGGGATGAAGAGCTGTCCTTTTGCCTCCACAAAAGCAGAACAGGCTGGTTGCACAAACACTAACGAGCAGCCACGCTCGCTAGGAGTCTCCCCAAATCTCCTGGTCCTCACAACAGAGAGATGCTGGTTGGGAGGAGTCTCCCTGCTCCTCTCCTCCAGAGGGTCCTGCTGGGTGCTGTGTCTTGCTGCCAGCCCTTGTTTACCCTCCCCTTGACTGGCAGGCACGTATCTTGTTATTCGTAACCAGTTGAGGCTCTGCCGAGCTGCAGGGCTAAAATCCCAGTTTAACTCAGCTGGAGGAGAGCAGGGGGAAGGAAAGGGGTGCTCTGTGACCCCCCACACAGGCCAACAACCTGTCCCAACAGCTCACGTGAAGAAGAGCTCTGCCAGAAGCAGGCACCTACTTCAGAAAAGCTGAACCTGCTCTCCAAAGACTGAAGTAATCCCCCTTCCTTCCCTCCCTCCCTCCCGAGGAAGTCTCTGGAATGGAGAGAACCCACAAAAGCACCACGTGAAACCACAACCCTCGACCCTCCCATTATCCACAGATCTGCAAACGACGCTCGTCTGGGTACAACCCCCCCAGGTAGGTGGGTACTGTGTTCTGTCACCCACCCAGAGAAACACATCCCCCAGATATTTCAGGAGGAAGCACACTTCCAGTAGCCTCCACGCCTCTCCAGGGGGAAGCAGAATATCCAGTTTTTAATTGGCAGCTTAGTCAGGTGCTGCTGTCTGCAGCTGCCCTCACCTTGCTCAGACACACTGTGCTCAACACTCTTCCTAAAATGGGCTTTGGGGATGCTCTCACGCAGCACTCAAGCCAAAGTTTACAACTTGCACCAATTATTGGGGGGTGGAGTACAAGCATACAGTGTCAGCATTCCCCTGGAAAAAGAAAACAGGAATCCCAGCAGCATGACCAGGTCTCCATGCTGGCTTAGGCCAGGAGGAAGGAAAAACTGACCCGACTAGTTTGATTGGTCTAGTTCAGTGGACAATGAAGGATTATGCAAATTTTAAGGAAACCCTCCAGTATTCTGAGGCTTTAATACAAAAAAAAAAAAAAAAAAAAAAGGGGAATGGATTCTATGTTTTTTCTGTAGTCCAAGTTCATGGGATTCAGTGTTTTTTTAGTCTGAGTTCTTAGCTCAGCTTCAGTGGGGTGGTGGCCAGGAGCACTCTCCACACCTCACGCTTCACAACAAGCTGGTCAGTTCTGGAAGGAATTCCCTTTGGGTCTGACTCAGCAACGAGGGAAAAAACACACAGAGGAGTGAAGGAAAAGAGGGAAAGAAGTCTCACATTTAAAACCTGCTTTAAGGGATTACTGTAAACACTTCTGGTAGGTCACCAAGACCTGACCAAAGAAGAACAGAAGAACAGCAAAGAAATAAGCAAACAGAGTTTTTCAGGGAACAGCACTGAGAAGCCGTTTCCAGAAGAGTCTTGGCAAAGGGCCTTTTCCAAGAAAAACATCATGAAGCAAACCCTTGAAAGAGCTCACCTAAATGTTAACATTTAGGTGAGCCACACAAGCGGAGAGGTGAGGATCACACCTCTTGCTCCTTTGGCTTTGAGACACCTGAGGAAGAGGACAGCTTGGGATCCTGGCAAATTAAGCAGGAAGTGAACAGCCAGTTTGTAAAGCTTTTAATATCATCTGATAAATTCTAATACAGATACAAAAATCTATTAAGAAATCAGAAGTCACAGATTGGGAAAGGAGCAAAGGCCGAAATTTCTTACCACCCTATTGGCAAGACAAATGCCTCACTATGCTTGAAGAAGCCCACATCCTCCTCAACCTGCTGCAGAAGACAGTGAGGAGATGCAATTATAAACCATTGCCTCCTTCTTTCTCTTCAAGAGGGACACTCCCTTCCTGAAGGGGGAATACACCGTACCTTGACTGAAAAAAGAGATGAGTTCATTAGCCTAATCATGCCAACCACTGCCAAATAGCTGCACAGAGCTGCCACTTGCCCAAGGCACAAAAGGTCAGAGATGCCACTGATTCCTCAGGTTGTTGACTTAGTAAGACCTGCTCCAGTAGGACCCCTCCAATCTCTTTCTACTGCACCAAAATGAGCTGATATAGTAATCAGAGAACCCCAGTTGAAGCAGCATGGCTCCGAGACACGCCGGCGGGGAACAAAGGGCTCTTCCCCTGCTCTGCAGAGGGAAGGCAGGAGCCCCCCCGAGCCCCTGTTACACGGACAAGAGGCCAAATAATCACTTGCATCAGAGGGAGAGCAAACACGGGAGCGATACCCTCCCCTCCTCTCCCCGCAAACACGCCGGGTGACCTTGCGAGCATCCCTCCGAGCTCCCAGGAGAGACCCGGGAACCC